CGACTTTAAAGAAATATAAATATGGTCTACTAAGGCTAGTCAATCGAATAGAATGAAAAACGGAGGTTCCATTTACAAATTGCCGTACACGTAAAGTAACATTTGGCAGTTGAAAATTGATTTAAGAGTAGGCCATAGCGCCGCTTCCTGAGACAAAAATTCCCCGATAGCACAATAAATGGCGTACGCCCGTCTTTATTAACCCAGACGGAGCAAACCAGTATGACGTTAAACACCATTTCATTTCTTTAATGATTAGCAAAGACATGTAAATCCCCCCCTAATTATATTTAAAATACACAAAACAGATGTTATTTATCTTATAAATAATAAATGATAATTCTATGTATTATTGACCAATATACCACAGTATATATTGCAACATTGTATCAAGGTTATCTATAAATGTATGTAATCTATATTGATATAAGTATTATAAACATCACTGTATACAGTAGAAGAGATTAAATAATCAATTTCTTTCATCCTTCCTACATCTGATAACCTAATACAGACAATGTCCTTGTTGATAAAAACATAATCACACCATCTGTACATGTATTAGCCTCATTATCTGTGCCAGATTGTTATTTTTTTATATTGATATACACTGTAAAATATTACATATATACAAACACATAATATATACAACAAGACACACAATAACATGACACACCTCCTAATCAATGTCAGAATTAGATGAAGAGAGATCTTGGGCTATTCCACTTTTAAGGCCCCTCCAAATCACCTATACTCATGACTAGAGGAGAGAGAGAGAAAAAGGGGGTTTAACGTCCACTCGACACAAACATGGTTCAATTTTATTTCAATAATTCGCTTGCGCGTAGGGGTCTTTAGCAGTGGGAGGAAACCAGAGGACCCGGAGAAAACCCACGAGGTTGGACAGGCGACCCTACTCCTTGCCACGTACAAACCCCCACCAGTTGACTCAATGACAGACCATATGATACCGCGTGCGCGTGCTAACCATTCAGCCATCCAACCCCCTCACGACTAGAGGAAGATGCTTGTAGGAAAGGCTTATGCCAGTGTCAAAAATATTATATATGTTGGCCCAAGGCCCCCTAGATCTTGAGGTTTAGGCTTCTGCTTGTCCCACCTATAGGTATATCCTGCACTGGTCCATGTTCCTGAAGCCATGTCAGCGAATTTTACAACATCTAACAGTTGCTAGAGTAGTCAGAAATTCACAAACTTATAGCTACATTATCTACCTTTACCGAAGACAAGGGAACAGCAGCGCCCAATCAGAGTTTGTGACACAAACACACTCAAGTCAAACCTTGACATTGAACGAAGCTTAAACTTTGCAACTCGTTTATCACAGGTAGACATTTAGCTGAAAAGCGCAAGATTTGGTATTTGCGATGATCGAGGAATCTGAAAGGTTCTCAAGCAAGGAAAGTACCAAATCGAAATTAGTGCCAAAATATTCAGGGTATTACGTGAAGGGCTTGATAAGATGTACGGAGTTAAAGCGAGATCAAGCCTTCATTTGATAAAGAGAAGAAATTCCCACTAAAACCACTCCATGGAAAGATTGCAAAATCATATTCTAATATACATGAAGTAACTTTAGCTCTCCTAGTTCTTGACAGCGATATCACTTTAGTGGAAGCAGACCCTAAAGAACCAGGATAGTAGCAGTAGAACAGGGGACCTCAGATGTCCATACCATCTGAAACACTAGATGTAGATGATGTTCCTGCATCACTGATATCACTTTAGTGGAAGCAGACCCTGAAGAACCAGGATAGTAGCAGTAGAACAGGGGACCTCAGATGTCCATACCATCTGAAACACTAGATGTAGATGATGTTCCTGCATCACTGATATCACTTTAGTGGAAGCAGACCCTGAAGAACCAGGATAGTAGCAGTAGAACAGGGGACCTCAGATGTCCATACCATCTGAAACACTAGATGTAGATGATGTTCCTGCATCACTTTAGTGGATGCAGAACCTGAAGAACCAGGATAGTAGCAGTAGAACAGGGGACCTCAGATGTCCATACCACCTGAAACACTAGATGTAGATGATATTCCTGCATCACTGATATCACTTTAGTGGAAGCAGACCCTGAAGAACCAGGATAGTAGCAGTAGTGCAGGGAGCCTCAAATGTCCATACCATCCGAAACACTAGATGTAGATAATGTTCCTGCATCACTGACAAGGTAACACCACGCTGCAAAATCTTGGGGAATTGTCTGGGCTAACACCCTGTACCTCCAGGTTGGTGAGCCTCATTTCATTAGAGAGAGGGGTTTTACATATGCTAAGCCTGTTCCCCAATCCCATTCAGACAATACTGTATATAAAAAAAATTTCATTACATGTTTATCATGGATTATACACATGTAACACCAGGATTGAACCCTGGATCGGGGTCACGGTGGCTAAGTGGGTAAGACGCTGGCTCGCTAGCCTGGAGGTCGGGTGTTCGATCCCTGCATTGGCCGAGAAAGTTCATCCTGATTTTCCGGCATGGTTCCCCCTTGTCAGTGATGCAGGAAGGAGGGTCTGACAAGGACAGCAGTCTAGTCGTTTGGATGGGACGAAAAACCAAGGTCCCGTGTACACATTGGCGTGCACGTAAAAGATCCCTTGGCAGTTGGAATTCGATATAAGAGTAGGTCATAGTGCCACTGCCCGGGCAAAATTTCCCTCATAGCACACTGTATGGCGTATGCCCGTCTTCATTAGCCCAGGTTAGGAGCAGAACAGTAGGACATTAAACTCCATTTCATTTCATTTTGAACCCTGGATCTCCATGGTTGGTGATCCTCATTTCTTTACCTGTATTATACACATGTAACTGTGTAATATTATACAATAGACCAGGATATAATTTAAACTACATATGTAACAGTGTATTATATACATGCTTATAATTGGACAACTCATCAGCTAAAAACTTTATGACAACTTTTGGTTATCGTTCGTTTGAAGGTGCAACTCGTTACCCTACATGTATTAACCTACGTCAAGACACGCATTTCATTATCGTCATTCAAGAAACTTTTAAAAACACATTCGTTTTAAACTTTAACTGAGAGCTAAAGACTCTTTCTGTAGACATGTTCTGTCAAGTGTTAAAGAGTACAATTTTTGTGGAATTTTGGAGCTATAGAAATGGACATTTATTATATCATTTTGGACATTTATTATATTATTTAATGGGCAGAAATGGACATTTATTATGTCATTTAATGGGCAATTGCATAAATTAAAAGCAAGTATCCATACTTAATGTGACAACTATTTGGTTAAAATGTAACAAAAAACAAAATTCCCCAACGAAAATAAATTATTACAAAATGTGAACATATTTTGACATTCCAGCCCCATTGTATCAATAATAAATATTTGTTATTTCTGGTTTAGCATATACATGTATAATATGTATCCTACAGTAGGTGTTACAGGGATGTTACCCAGTAAAACTATGGTATATAGCATTATATATACATGTATACAATGTATCATATACAAGTAAAACTATGGTATATAATGTTATATACCCCAGCATATTAATTCATAGTGTCATATATTGCCCAGTAAAACTATGGTATATATAGCATTAAATGTACATGTAAATATGCAGCATATTTATTATAGACAAGTAAACTATGGTATATAACATTATATACCCTAGCATATTAATTCATAGTGTCATATATTGCCCAGTAAATCTATGGTATATAACATTATATACCATAGCATATTAATTTACATGTATAGTGTTATCTCCTCATATAAAACTATGGTATATAATGTTATATTGAGCAGTTTTTTAATTTATAAGGTTTTAAACAGCCCAGAAAGCATGATATAATTTTATAAACCCAAGAATATCAATTTATAGTGTTATGTAGCCCAGTAAAACTGTGGTATAAATGTAATATACCCCTGTCTAACATTGTATATGTTAAAATAAGATGAATATAATGTTATAAACCCAAGAATATCCATTTATATATAGTGTTATATATAATAGCCCAGTAAAACTGTGGTATAAATGCAATATACCCCAGTCTAACATTGTATATGGTAAAATAAGTGTAGTATTTACACTATTAAATACAGTGTCAACACATCTAACCATACAAGATGTGACGACTTTATCTTTAAACAACTATCACAAGTCTTACACCAAGTACTAACACTACCAACATTTCACTAAACTAGTAATTTGAACGGTTAAGAGTCTTTTTATGAGCTCAACTAAGCTGGCGAGAAACGCCCCCCTGTAATATGATATAATATAATGTTTCTGTCGACGTATGGCGTGAAACTGTAACATTTATAGACACCCGTTCATTTTACCAATAGTAAGATCTTTAATAAACATATTATTTCTTTGAAAATTCTCACTGGTTGGATAATCTGCATTTATTTTTTTAAGGTAAGCGTTTAAATGTAAACAAATCAGAGCTAAATCAGACTGATTTGACACAAATTAGATAACGTTTACATATCGCTTTCAAATGTAAATAATTTATTTGGCTGACAGCCAGCTTACCTTTTTAAGGGCTGTGACTGCTAAGGAATTGTTTGAAGGTTTCCTATCCCCGGACCACAGCATGTCCCTTGTTTTATCTCCCTAAATAAAACATTTTCGAGTCGTGTAAGAAGTCCGAAATGACAGTTGACGATGACAGGTGATACGTCCGCCGTCGTGTGCGATAGCTTATCACACACCGCCTGGCATAGCGTGTTGACCTATGGCCCGAGCACGTGATCGCTTACATCAATGAATAATAACAATAATAAAGTTATGATTTGGGGGAAAGTATGCAACCCCTTATAATTTTTAGTAACATAATACATTATACAAAGAAAAGAACCAATATTCACAATTTATTCTTCAAATTTATCGAATTTGTTAATGTGCAAGCGATATAAATAGCGGTAAGAGTAGTCACGCTTGTCCAAACAGAAATAATTTATGGAAAGCATTGTATGCTGGACGCCCGAAGCTACGTTAGGTTGCCTTCCACACAAAATGGCAGGCTCGCTGTCTAAAAGCGATTCCAGTGTCTCTCTGGAAATAAGGACTAAATCGGTGGAGCAAACTTTAATTCCTTTAGTTAGTCAGGTAAGTCGACTATTAATTTAGAAGGTGTTAAAATTTTATTAAAATCCGGGTATTTTTCGGCGGTTGTTTTACGTTGCAAATTGCCGGCTGCTGATAAGTGATCACGCTCCATGCTATTATTGTAACTGCTGCAGTTAACCCGTGCGTAGCTGTCCTGCTCAACAGTGTCAGGTTTCTATTGTATTCTCTAGACTAAAATCTCTGGCAGCAAATTGATGTAATCACAAACATGTACTGTTGTTGTTCTGATTCTGACTTTAATGCACGTCCATGTGCGTTTAGATACCGTACACAAGGTGTGATTTTTATTTTTACATGCACACATCAATAATAAAATCCCTACAGACTTTTACCTGGCCTGACAATCAATAGATGAAGAAAGATACATCCAATGTCATCTGATTTATTATTGTTTTATTACTACACCATAAATGTCAAATATAATGAGTTATTAATAGATCATTTTACTGTGGTTTATTGAGTTAATTATACTACACATTGCCTTAATTCATATATAACATAACTACATGTACCATACTGGAATTGGTCACAAACCATGATTTATTTTTATGCTCATGGTTGATAAACTGTATTTTACTGTGGTTTATTGAGTTAATTATACTACACATTGCCTTAATTCATATACAACATAACTACATGTACCATACTGGAATTGGTCAAAAACCGTGATTTATTTTTATGCCCATGGTCTATAATCCGTACTTTAAACCAGATTCCTATTTATACTTGGGTGTTCTGTTAGATAAATTCTATAATGGCCAGAAATATATTTGATATACATGTAGACCACTTTTTTTTTTATTTAAGTGAGGGTTATATATTTAACTGTTAAAGGGACAATAACACTCTTGCTGGCTTGACAGCTCAAGAAAATAAAAAATAGCCTTATTCTAAGTACTAGATGTGTTAGTGTCCTAGCTGTTGTGTAAATTATCCATTAAATCCTATTTTTAAATCCAAGTAACATTTGAAAAGCTTTACGTCAGGCTTTTCAAATCATTTAGTTGAATTTTTCCAATTTTTTAAATTAGGTGTGTTAAGATGACATTTTTTTTATTATGAATTAATTGGAATATTGTATAATAGTACAATTTGTTGACCAGAATAAAGATTGGGACATATTATTCAGTTACAACAAGAGTGGTATTGAGCCTTTATACAAATGAACCAAAATTAGTTTAATATAAGATCCACTATTTAGGTGTAGCATGATTTCCACATACATTGTATACTGTGGTGGTTAATCCAATGAATTCTATAATGACCTGAAATGTATCTTAATTATATACATGTACAATGTATACTATATGTACCATAATTTCCAGCTTTCTATTTTACTGTTATACCGTAGTCATTATTTGTGGGAGTTCTATAATTACCAGAAGTGTATTTGATATAATATACAGTATTTAACTCACATGTAATAATGGAATCAGTATTTGCCTGAGGTACATGTATATTCATTTAATAATGACCAGAAAATAAATTATACAGGGTATCTACATGTATATTCAATTTGGACTACAGTACTTGGCGATAAACTCAATAATAACCAGTGTTGTATTTATACCATGGTTAGATATTTAAATTTGAACCATATAATAATACATTGTACCATATTTCTTCAATTTCTGTGAGTTATTATTGCCTGCTCCGTGGTATATATGTCAATAATGACCAGTGCTTTTTTTCATCCCATGATATATCAGATGTAGGAAGAGTTATTTCACAAGGGATATTTATTGTTGATTAAAACCATGTGAGGGATCATTTTGTATATGTAAAGAGAATTGTTTGTGTCATTGGAGTATTTCTGTGAGAGATTATTGTAGATATTTATTCCTATGTGTAAAGATATATACATGTATCTGATAACTATTTCTGTTATTAATTATTGTCTAAGCTGTCTACCATGTACTGTACTACTGTATGTCACTTCTTAGTTTCATAGCTCCAGTATTATTATTCTGATTTATTAATTAATCTGATGGTCATACACGTACATGTACTACACGTACATGTAGCTCCTTTATTTATTATTCTGATGGTCATACACATACATGTAGCTCCATTATTTATTATTCTGATGGTCATACACATACATGTAGCTCCTTTATTTATTATTCTGATGGTCGTACACATACATGTAGCTCCATTATTTATTATTCTGATGGTCATACACATACATGTAGCTCCATTATTTATTATTCTGATGGTCGTACACATACATGTAGCTCCATTATTTATTATTCTGATGGTCATACACATACATGTAGCTCCATTATTTATTATTCTGATGGTCATACACATACATGTAACTCCTTTATTTATTATTCTGATGGTCATACACATACATGTAGCTCCTTTATTTATTATTCTGATGGTCGTACACATACATGTAGCTCCATTATTTATTATTCTGATGGTCATACACATACATGTAGCTCCATTATTTATTATTCTGATGGTCATACATCAAGCTGCATTATTTATTTAGTCGTTTGGATGGTACAAAAAAACGAGGTCCAGTGTACACATTGGCATGCTCATAACAGATCCATTTGCAATTGGAATTTGATAAAAGAGTAGGCTGTAGCGCTGTTGTCCGTGCAAAATGTTCCTCATAGCACAGTGTATGTTGTATGCCCATCTCCATTAGCCCTGGGGGTTTGGGTGGCCGAATGATTAATGTGCACGCGCATTGCATCATAAGGTCTGTCATTGAGCCAAGTGGGATGGTTTAGAGTCCCTGCTTGTACGTGACAAGGAATATGGTCGCCTGTCCAACCTCATCGGTTTTCTCTGGTTTGCCAGTTTCCTCCCACTGCTAAAGCAAATGATTGAAATAAAATTGAAACATGTTAGTCCCGAAATGACCTAGTTTGTGTCGAGTGGACTTTTAACCCCATTTATCTCTCCCTCCATTAACCCAGTCGGAGCAGAACAGTAGGGTGCTAAACTTCATCTGTTTTGTTTATGGCTTAATGCACCCAAAAATGTACTCAAATTCATTATGGAACATTAATTTATTAAACATACATTATGCAAGAGCTAAATCTGTCTATTGCAGGTCTTTCTTTAGGTCTGAAATGTTATCTAAATTATTAATTAGACATTAATTAACCCATCCAGACCATAATCAACTCTAGATGGCATCGCTAGCCTGCAATCTTTAGTGGATTATGAGCCGATTTAATACATAACTTTCCTTCACGATTTAACGATTAAATGGATAATCAAGACTATGCTGTTTATCGTACTGACTTTAGTAATGATGATCGAGGCTAGGCGAAAATTTCAGTAGCTTAGTTCTCGGTTCATAGTAGATCAATTTGAATGAAATTTTCAGCAAATTGCGTTTACATTATCTATTTTTTAACTATTATAGTGATAGCTTCCAACTCGTTATTGAATCTCCCATAATGTATCTTTAAGAAAACAAACCCCAAATATCTATGGCAGATAATCCTCTGACATGGATTCAGTGAGATTAAAGGGAGGTCCATCAAAAGATTTTACCCAACAATTATACATGTAGGTGGCTCTGGTTTGTTTATATCAATTCATTATACATGTATCTTTGTATTATGGAATTTGATCGAACCATTTTTATTATACTGTAATTCCCTTTAGAGATTTGGGAGGTTTGATGGCTGAATGGTTAGCACGTGCGTGCTGCGTCATAAGTTCTGTCATTGAGTCAACTGGCATGGTTTTGATTCCCCGGTTGTACGTGACAAGGAGTAGGGTTGCCTGTCCAACCTCATGGGTTTTTTCTGGGTCCTCCAGTTTCCTCCCACTGCTAAAGACCCCTACGCGCAAGCGAATTATTGAAATAAAATTAAATCATATGTTAGTCTTAAAATGACCTAGTTTGTGTCAAGTGAACGTTAAACCCCATTTTTCTCTCTCTATGCTCTTTTAGAGATTCAACTTTCACAATATTGTTGTTTACAAGGGATTACAAATCTCTGGATGAGCAGCTTTATGTGATGTATTAGATATATCATACTGTAATCTACATGTACATGTATATATATAAACACATTCTTGTGTACTATAGTATCTGTATATCATAGTAAATAAATAACTAAAGAAGTATATACTGCTAGTTAAAACATTTAGTGTGATATATTAGTCATGGTACATGTATATCACACTATAATCTATTAATGTGTACAACTGTACCCTGTTTACTGGGCATGGAATACACATTAAATACACATCTATCTCAATATCTACTGTATATAATCTCTATAGTACCTGTATGTAGATATAGTACCTGGCCATATGGTCACAAAACATTCTCAGGCTTAAGTTAAGAATTTACTCAAAATTGTTCGCCTTATATTAACTAAAATATAGCCCTTTATAAAACTTCTGTTGTTTTAATGTATCAAATACATCAATAAGAAAGGATGTGCAATTGTTTGTGTTTCTGGATCAAAGATATTTCTCATAAACAGTGATTGAAAGTTGAGTAAATTCTTAACTTAAGTCTGAGAATGCTTTGTGATCTATGTAACCAACACTATTAATCCAACATTCTAATATACAGTGGGATTTGAAGTATTGTATTGGTAACTCTTTCACTCACTCAAGACATCATATCCCAACGGGGAAGGGAAACAATCTTGTTCCATGACACTGACACAGGACAATGTAATGTAGGAATGTAGATTACATGTACATGTATATGTATCTATTTTATTAAACATACATTATGCAAGAGCTAAATCTGACAATTGCAGGTCCTCGGTTTTTCATGTCATCCGAGCAACTAGACAGCTGTCCTTGTCAGGCCCTCCATCTTGCACCACTGACAAGGGGAAACCAGGACGGAAAACCCCAATGAACTTTCTTAAAAAAAAAGAAAGAGAAAGGTGATATATAAGATTTATCGTACCGACTTTAGTAATGATGATTGTGGCTAGGCCTAAAATTCAAACGCTCATATCTCGATTCAGAGTGGAGCAATT